GGTCATTGGGGTCCATCGATCTTGCTTTCGAGTGACTTTTCAACAATCGCAACTTCGATTCCCTTGGCAAATCCTTGGAATCCCAGCAAATCTAGGGTTTGAGTTCGAACTTTGAAGGAGAATTGGAGAATCGAACAAGGAAGATAGGATAAACTATGAGAAAATCTATGCAATCCCAAAGAGGAGAATCGAAAGTGCAGTGTTCTCTATTTTGTAGAAGTTTTAGGTTTTTTTTTCTACCGAAAGAGCAACCCAAAAGACATCTCTGCAATCCCAGGGTTTATCGCGTGTTTATTGGAGCTTCGGCAGGCAACGTGGGGCCCATTTCAGTGGATTGGCGCCTTTGGCTCGCGGGAACATTACATGGCAACACGTTTGGTCCATATCAGCACTTTTTAAAATTTTGCTCCCCACGTCATCAAAAAAATAATAAAAAATGCCACCTGGCGGACTTAACGGCCCAAATTGATAGAAGGACTAACGGAGTGCATTTCTTATAGTTGAGGGATCAAAAAAGTGCAAAAAATTGTTAAGGGACCAAAAATGTTCATTTCTTAAAGTTGAGGGACCAAATTAAGCATTTAACCTAATATAAATTATGTATATTAATTTTTAGATTATTCTAATAAATCTAACTACTTTGATGATTATGCAAAATTTAACACTGTTGAATATATATTAATAAATAGAGTTTTTTTTATTAAAGGATTATAAGTATGAGATTAATATAAAAATTGATATGTATAATTTATATAAATAAAATTTTTAATTTAATAGTCAATTTTTAAAAATATTAATTATAAAATAAAATTTTAAATATGTCTTCTAAAAAAACCTTTGAAAAATGATCTATTCTACACTATTATCGTATATCATAAGATATCAATATTTGTTTTGAAAGTAAGAGTTTTGAATGAATTTTGCAATAATATGGAGATTAGAGTAGAGATCGAGCAGGTGATTTAGCTAAGATTTAGTGAGCCATAACGAGCACTGTTGAACAGGAATCCCGTAACCCAAGGCACAACTCACTTGTCATATGGGCCAGATTTTACGAGAGATGGGGGCCAGCCTACTTGTCATATGGGCTAATTCGACCGAGTCTACCTCGTGGTGGACCAGTCTGAAGAGAGCAATAAGTTTCACAGATGTTGACTGGAATTCTATTATTTTGAAAGGCAGCCCGGATGGAGAGCCTGGGGTGTGACTTATATGTACGGTTGGACTGCCTTATTTTACTAGTGCCATTACTCCCTTACAACTCTAATAGTTTAAAAAATATTTATTTTAATTTTTTTTATATATTTAAAATTTTATTATGAAAATTTTAAAAATTAACTTTTTTAAGTAAGTTATAAAGAAGTTTTGAAAAATTATATATTTAATTTTTTTTTAATTTTGTTTAAAAATCATTTTAAAAGTTAATTTTAAATTTTAACAAACCATCAAACACCCTCCTATTCCTATTCGATGAATTCTGTAGACATTTTGATTTATTTTTAACCCAATTTCCAATATCTTACAAGGAAAAGCAAAAGGAAAAGTTTAAGAACACAAATAGACTTCTTTTTTTATTTTTGTTTTTTGATGTTCAAGACTTCTTCTATCTATTATTGAGTTTTCTAACTGGAAAAATAAGATTAACATACTGGTAGTAATTCAACATCGATCATTAGTCAACTCTATTTAAATAACTAATTCTTTCTTAATAGACTTAAATTAGTTTGTCATATAGTACTACCTCATGTCTTAAGGATTTAAAGTCAAATAATATTCATTACTCCCCTCATAATTTTATTTTAACATTTTTAAAATTTTTAAATATGAATTTTAAATAAAAATTTAATAATTTATATAAATGATAATTAAAATTTTTTTATATAAAGTTTTTGTTGAATATTTTTA